ACAGCATATTCTTAAAGAATCCAATAGTAGTGATATCTAAAAACAAATTTAAATTGATCAAACACTTATTAGATCCTTAAATAATTAAATGCACCTGGTATATTTTATATTTGCTAAAACAGTTCAAACGTAACAAATAAAAAAATGATTTAATATTTTTTGAAAATTAAACCCACTGGGTACAGTCTGGACACTTTTAAGTTATTTATTAAAATTGAAATTTTTTTAGTTTTTATTCTATAAATGTCAATAAAATAAAATTGTATTCGTTGGGACAAAAAGCTTGAAAATGTAATAAAAATTTCATCATAAGTTGATATAATAGCATTTAAAAAATATTAAAAATACATGAGCACGGTTTTTTATAAGCATTTAAAGTTAAAATTTTTATGAAATTCTTCATAATCTCGGCAATTAACAAATCGCTTTGTAGTCAGATATTCATACAAAAAGTAGAAACGTCTTTGTATACCTAAATTAATATGAACATTTTATACCATGTTCCTCATATGTAGTTATAATAGAAGTTGAGAAATAATAAAATAATTATCCATATTATGTACGATGTTTCTTATAAGTAGGTACTTAAAGTATTTAAATATTGTTATTTAATAACAAGGATTCTCATAAATAGTTTATACTGTAACTAAAAAATCAAAAAAAATATATCAACAGTTATTTTTTACATACGTTATAAGTTAAAATTTTGACGAAATTGCATATTAAAATAAAGAATAACGGTTTTAGTTATATTGTACATAACATTTACATACTTAATACTCAAGCAAGTTAGTAGCCAAAAACTATGTATGACTTACGAAAATCACAACAAATATACATCCTTGTTTTGTCGTTAACTCTAAAAATTGTTTTGCTACATTTCATAAAAAAAAAAAATAGTTTTGTTGTACTTTATATTATATTTCTATAACTCCATTATACAAAAAGAATATTTGTAAAAATGAATTTTTATTATACAGACTACTAGTGTAAAAAAATAATAGTTTTGTTGTACATTATATATTTCTATAACTTCATTATACAAAACGGATATTTGTAAATATGCATTTTTATTATAATGACTACCAGTGTACCTTGCAAGGTACAACCTTATGACTTTCTACCAAGTTATCCTATTCTCACAAAACTTGGTATTCGTTATCTAAGAAGTGTATTCATAGTATAAGTGAAAAAAAAATGTTTTTCAAATTAGAACATAATGCTTTACTGAAAGGGTTAAGGTGAACTGTTTAAATTTGTAATTTGTATACTGCACACGATAGTGAACATTTTGTTTAATTACACAAAACCTACTTAAAAAGTAAACATTTTTATTAATAAATTAAATAAATTAAATAAATAATATAAAAATATAAAAATATAATTACTATTTACATAATATGAATTGAACATAACCTCAATTAAGTGTTAACCTTCTAACACCTGAACCGTGATTACACTAATTAATAATTCGTTATCATAGTTTACAATCTATGATTATTTAATATTATTAGATTTTGATTTTTTGTATGTTATTTTTTGCTTTTGAAAGCTTTTGAAAATTAGATAAACTACTGGACAATTTTTTACACCGGCCATTTAAATAGAATCTCCATAAAATTCTCTATCGATAAACTTAAGATTTCACCATTCATCGTTCTCGTATGTGGGATTTATCTCATCCACAAACAGACGACCACAATAGTTCTGAATAGAGTATATACCTAATATCATAATATATATCTGTCATTTACTAATTTACTATTCGTCTATACCTATCGGCTATTGTCCAGCGTTAGTAGATTTCAAGACATGTCATATTATAGTATTATAACAAAATACATTTAATTTTAATAATTTTCGAGACGTATGTATCATTAACTTCGATGATTAAAATTAAAACTTCATCAATTACCTATATAAGCAATTGATCATGTCATGTAGGTATTCATGTTTAACACTCTTAAGAGGACGCCACACCCGCATGTGTTGTCTCCGTCTTACAAATGTACAACATAGCAAAAACTCTTTTGCGAGGGACAATTTTTCTCGTACCATATTTGTTATAGAACTACCAAATTTTTACAGCACTTAAAGAAGAACTTTATCTGTGCAACAGCGTGCTCTTTTTTTCAATAACATATATACAATACAAGTTATTTGCTTCTAAACATTTGGTTTTTTAATTTGCTTATAAAAAATGATTGGATGGTGCTATTGAAAAAAAGAGCACGCTGTTGCACAGATAAAGTTCTTCTTTAAGTGCTGTGAAAATTTGGTAGTTCTACAACAAATATGGTGCGAGAAAAGTTGTCCCTCGCAAAAGAGTTTTTGCTATGTTGTACATTTGTAAGACGGAGACAACACATGCGGGTGTGGCGTCCTCTTAAATAGATTTATTATCGATGTGATTATATTAATAGGTAACTACTTCTAGGAAAACTACTGGCATAGAATGTTGTACGATGCTGATAGCGTAATTACCAAATTCGAATAAACGTATGTAAATATGTAATAGTTTTTTAAGTTCAATAAATCATTTATTAGTAGTTGTAGATGACGTTCACATAAGATGATATTGTACTTTTAAGTTCCCAAACTTTTCGGTTTAGGTTCTTCTAAAACGTACTCCCGGAGTCGGGGGTCCTCAAGTTTCAACGCAGTGACACCTCTAGATCAAACTTCTGCTCTCAAAAAAGCCGCGTATCGATCTAAAAATTGACAAATTGACAAAACAAAATTACTTGCCATTATTTTTTTTTTGAATAATTTAAATTTTGAACACTTAATTTACCTCCTTAATAATGTGTTAAACAACTTTTAGCATCTAGAAAATGATGTAGGTACGATTCTGTTTTGATCCTTGTAAGTTTTATAGTAGTAGGACTTATATATTGTAGGATTTAGGTTTTCGTTAGATTTTTCAAAACCAAAATTAAAATTCAAGTTTTAGGATAAAAAGTTATTACACGTATTGGGAATTCTAAATGTGTCTATTCAAAACCATTTTAAAACTAAATGTTCAGGCATAATGATATACGGGGTGTTGTGACTATTTTAGTCCAATACATAATAAAAACAGCTTATAAATTATTATGTCATATTAACTAGGAAAAACAATTCATTTTATTCTATAAACTAATTATAAAATAAATAATAAATATTAAAATTTGTATTGAATATTTTATAACATTAAACTATTGTTTGATATAGTACAAATTACTAATTGGTTTGATTATATTGTATTACAATATTATAATATTTATTAGTAATAATTGAGAAGAAAAGAAAATACATTGGAATATAATAATTTATTATTTGTCCCCGGGCACAGGGCAGTGAGCGATGTAGGTACATAACTACCGACCTGCATTTGTCATTCAAAATTGTAGGCAGAGTTATAATACATAAACAGTCAAACAGATGTATTATAGTTATTTCATTATGTGATATACTGATACAGGTTCATCATACATATTGGTTAGGTACCGACAGTGATGGGAAAATAGTCCAACAATGGGCAAACATTTTGTCTTAAACATTACAGTAAATTACACAATAAACGAATGACAACAATAGTTGATTGATAAATTGGTAATATTAAGGACATCAAGGGGTCAGTTCTTCTTTTTAGGAAATTGAATTAGGCTCTTATGAGTAATTCAATTTTAAAAATATAATTGAAATAAATAATAACGTACCTAAATAATTAATTAGTACGGTGCAAAATATTTTTTATCAGCCTTAGTAGTGATACGTAAAATAATATCTAATAGTTATAGTACCTAATCGTATACCTAGACAAAATAAAATATAAATTTATTTAATTTCTTTGAAATTTCTGTGGTTTAACCTTTTGATACATTTTCTTATTTACTTTAGAAACCATTTTCTAATTAAAATAATATGCTTTACTAATATAACAACTATATGTCTGATGAAACAATAATTCAATAATGTTATCATGCGTAATTATTTTATATCTATCTAAGCATTTAGTTTGTTTTCGGGTCTCTAGTGACTAGTACCCTACTAACTATTTTACTTTATTACTTTCAACTTTAATTTGATTTTCTGATAACTTAATTGCACTTATACTAAAATATTTTTAAATTGTAATAAGCATATCATTACAGGCAACTGATTAAAATAAACTTACAAATAACATGGTATTCATTAAATTTAATATTTTTATTTTTATTTGAAATAATAAAATATATAAAATTACAATTCATTAGGGATAATGGATAAAACAAATTTAAAACAAGTTATATGCTTTTTTAAGTTTATTAAAATATATTTTAAATTATATTAACAATTCAAGGTAGGTATATAATCAATATTGCTCATTATGGTATCGCAAGACAAAAATAACAAGAACCTAAATTTAACTTTTCAATTTGGAATTGTTATTCATTGATTTCGGAGGATTTACCTAGGACTAATAATGCAGTATAAGGATGGCATAATTTATTGTTTTACTTCAATTTTGAATCAATGCCATCCAGTGGCGTAATTACGGGTGGATTTGGGTGTCGTATCCCCCCCCCCATGACCGTTTTTTTTTTAAATTTTCAAACACTAGTATATAAGACTAATTTTACTCATGTATATTTTATAGATAATACAAAAATCACCCCAATCACCATAATGTTGTATAATCATCCATCAATATTATCAAACAATATTATACCCGCTAAAAACAAGTGATGGATTTTCCACATTATTGGTTTATCGGAATATTCCCAATCGCAACGACTCTCCGGACACCGACATCCGTTTGTCAGTTACTATGTTCTCATTTGGTAATAATCGGCAGAGCCGTGTTTAACGGGGGGCAAAGGGGGCAAAGGGGGCAACTGCCCTTTATAATTTTCATATTTTAAGAACTGCGTAAACATATTGTTAATACCAATATTATTCATCATTAATAATTATATTATACTTGGACGTTTTTGAATCTGCCAAGCGAGCCAGTGCACATGAGTTAAAAAATAAAAATGAACGACGTCGCTTACGGCAACCATTTCGGCTATATCCCGAGGACATTCGACACTAGGAAGAAGTGGAGACATTGCAAAACGATCGGAGAAGTTCGTGACCAAGGACACTGCGGATCCTGCTGGGTGCGTTTACCAGAGGGCTTAAGTCGACGGATGGAAATCTTAGAATGGTTTTAACGAATTTATTTTCTAATTACAGGCATTTGGAACCAGTTCAGCGTTCGTCGATCGTTTGTGTATAGCCACTGACTTAGATTTCAACCAACTGTTGTCCGCCGAAGAGATAACGTTTTGCTGTCACACGTGAGGTTTTGGATGTATCTCGGAGGCGACTCGATCAAAGCCTGGAAATATTTTAGTACACACGGTTTGGTGACAGGAGGAAATTATAAATCTGGAGAGGTAATTATATTCTCTGCACATTATCGCAGATGTTGGTTTTCAATAATTTATGAGATTGAAACCATTTAGTATTAATTGATAAGGAACATTTGGTAAATTGTTACCGAACATCCATTGAGATGAATCTAAACACTTATAAAACCCTCAGTATTACTAAATACTAAAATTTTGTATTACATATGTTAATATTATTATGTTTCACGGTAATCATAGTGATAATGATGTATACTAAGCTAATACAGTAGACACATGTTTGCAAGTAAGCAGAGGACTTGTAGAGCTTGCATGTGCTTAAAGGATTTAGTATCTAAGATATTGCAGAGTATATAACAGTTTATATGGGTACCTATACAATATACATTTATTAGTATGTATTGAGAGATGCTTTTTTTACCTTTTAATTAATTCATAAAAAATAATAGAAAATGAGATTGTGATTTTAAATCTACACTCGAAGCACGAGTGAACTTTCAAATTGTTGTAGTTTCAAAACTAAAACCAAGCGTTGTATTATGATTGAAAATGTTTCCTTATCATTTTCCCTTGTCAGTATGTAAGCACTCAAATTATCAAAAAAAAATTATAAAAAAATGTTTTCCCATTACTAAACCATTTTCTGTGCAAATTTTCAACATTTTACGGGAATGTTCCAAATTTGTTAAGACATTTTTATCCCTAGTACCTATAATTGTGTACGAGATTGTTGCATAATGAATATACGTATTCCAGGGATTTGAGCCATACCGAGTTCCACTATGCCTATAAGATGCCCAGACGATAAAGGTAATAACACGTGCGCCGGTAAGCCAATTGAAAAAAATCACAGATGTACGAGAATGTGTAACGGAGATCAGAACCTCGACTATGGCAACGATCACAGATATAGTATCAATATTTTAAAAAATATTTCAATTCGAAATATATGTTTAATCTATATAATTAAATCATGATTGTATGGCACGTGACTATTACTAGATGACTTACGGCAGCATCGAAAAGGACTTTGTGAATTATGGACCAATCGAAGCAAAGTTTGATGTGTACGACGATCGGTTCGGTAATGATAAACAGTACTGGCGAACCATATTATTTTATATTAATAAATCACATTTGCATTTTATTCAAATGACATATTATTATTGTTATAATAATAATCGTGTCGTCGTAACAGGACCTTTGATCTTGACATTTTACAATGGCTTTTAGCCTTTAGTTGTTTACGAGAAAACCGAAAAAGCCTCGTACTTGGGAGGACACACCGTGAAGTTGATCGGCTGGGGTGTAGGAGAAGGCATCCCGTACTGGTTGATGGTCAACTCGTGGAACGCTGCACAGTGGGGCGAAAACGGTGTTTTCATAATTAGACGGCTTACAAACGAATGTGGTATCGAAAATTCTACAACCACTGGTGTACCAGTGACTTAAATAATAATAATTCCCGACTTATTAACACGTTCACTGAGTATCATATTTTTGTATACTTGTCGTGATGCTGATAAAATTCTAGTTTTAAAAAAAAATTTCCTAAAAATTGAAAAACTAAAATATCAGTGTACGGTTTGCACTTGATTATGAAACAATGCTTATAGAATAAGCCGCTGACAAAAAACCAAAAGTTTAATCGTAACGCTGACCAAATTATAGTCCTGTAACGTGCCAACCACTTCAACTCAGTTTTGATTGTATTTTGAATAAAATAATAAGTTGATGGTATAATGATAGTTTATTTGTATTTATTTAACACGTAAAATTAGTCTAAGTCCAAATAATTAATTTATAATAATGTGGTAAACGAGATGTGACTTAGTATCGACTTGGTGGCTTCTCTGCTGGTGCTCGTCTGCTCGGCTGGTGTTCGTCTGATGGACACTTGTCCATCGACGTATCTTGTCGGTATTCCTAATAGATCCCCCCTATGACATTTTTAGTATAATAATGGTACACGCGCCGCATCCGCCTGAGGTCATTTCTGACGTCTTTTACGAAAACAATGTTAACTACCGATTAAATGTTCCCTATAAACATCCTTTCCTAGAATATGTCTTTTCTAGAACATGTCTTTACTAGAATATGTCTTTCCTAGAATATGGATATTGCGCGCTTATTGAAGTGGCAGTCATTAATTAGTTCTCTTTAATGCAACCGCTCGGATGTTGATATTATTACTATTACCGGGTTACGGGCTCCCTGTAGCATTTACGTCTATTGTTGAACATAATATATATATTATAATAGTACTTTACCTAATACAATATAATATTTTATATATTATTACTATTATTAATATATACGTATAGTCACAGCTCCTTACAGTCCATTAAATAACAAGATACATGATGCCAATTGGCGTCATTCAGAATATGCGAACTATGTACAATGACGCCAATATTGGCGTTTTACGCAGCAAACCTGTTAAAATAACAACAAAAAAAACTGGAAGCATCGAAAGCTGGAATAGGTTCAGTTCGGTATTAAACGAAATTTTTGGTTTGATGTTTCTACAAAATGTTCGGTTATAGTTCGATATCACACCGAATCGTTAGCTTCGAATACGATTAAATGTTCGATTTTATTGCTTCTAAGCACTGTATAATTTTCAAATAATTTGGACTTGTTTCAACCTATTTGTTCAACGAGCCTATTGGCACCGTTCCACAATTGTACATCAGTTTTGACGCATTATAATAAATATGTTAATATTATAATATAGGTAATGTTTGTACATAATTTATTTTCATGGTTGGGATTTTATAGCACTTAAAATGCTATTAACACGTGCAATAAATACATTTATACCTAACCATCGCTAAATATGGTCTAAAAAAACTCAAAATATAAATAGCCATTTGTAGCCATTAATAGCATAATACAAAAGGATATATTTTATAATTTATGCATAGATAAAAGATAATTTGGGTATACGAAAACCAATTTACTTACCTACCTAGTAGGTACAATACGTTTTAAGTAAAAGTTAATTAAAGTAAGATAATTTGTTTACTCAAGTCGTAGTACCTCCGCTGGGAGGCCTCTACAGTCTGCCTAATTTGCCTTTTTATTTTTATTTTTATTTTTATTTTTATTTTTATTTATTTTAACCTATAAACCATCAATTGTTCTTATTGTTCTTTTTTTTTTTTAAAGTAACAGATTGAACAAAAACATAATATGAATCAAAAAAAAAAGTCAATCTGAGTTATGGGTATTTTATTTTTTTTTTGAAAATATATCTAGACTAGAAGGTAACTGTTTACACTTTAATTGATTAATTAGAAAACGTATTGATTAAGTATTTTGATATTTTGATATTTTTTTTTCCTATATTATTAAATTTGCTTTTATTTACTATAGAAATATTTATAATTAGAAATAGGTGGCAGGTACCACTTTTAGGTGGTTACCACTCACACTTCAATTTCGTACAAAATATTTAATTTTACTGTCGTAATTAAAATATTATCGAAACTCGATATTTAAAAACAAACAATGACTGTATTAGGACCATAATATAATAATCTGTTAATCGAAATATTTCATAACATTATTACCATGATTTCTGAATACAACAGTCTGATAATAATTTGTGATAAATTAGTGCAAACACCATCAAGACTAAATTTGAAGTGTTAAAACGATACTAAATTAAAAAACATACAATATATGGTTTAATGTATAACATTTATAAGTAGAATAGTTATTTAGTTATTTAATATTATTATGTATTTTATTATTGTTTTAAATTAAATATTCGACAATTATTTGATAACAGTTTTTGTTATATTTTATCATCACACTCGATAATTTATAAGAGCTTGAAAAATTAAACATTACCTATAATTTGACGAAATATATCAACAATATATAAGTAGGTAACTACTTGACACGATATTCGTAAGGTATAAATAGTGTACCACTGGACACGTTTAAATCACTGCCGTTGAAACTGCCTCAACGGATGCTTTTTAGTTGATTCGTTTCTTTTACGATTATTTTCCAGCAAAACCGTAATAATGGCTCGTCTCGTAATTTTGTTGTCTGTCGTATTGTTCAGCGTGTATCAGACCGAACAAGCGTATTTCTTGGAGGAAAGTTACATCGACATGATCAACGAAGTAGCGACTACCTGGACGGTAACTATATAATAATAATAATAATAATAATTTTTAATAATATACCTCTACGTAGTATAGTATTTTGGTTTAATTAAGTTATTTATACATAAAGGTAATATTACGATAGATGCTTTAATGCAATTTAGTTTGGAAGTCCTTCACGTAAGTCCTTCCGTTCCTGGACTGTAACTATAGAATAATAATAATAATAATAATAATAATAATAATAATAATAATAATATTTAATAATGTACATATCTCTGAGTAGTTTATTATTTTGGTTTTTTTTAGTAATTAATACATATAGCCATATAGGTAATATTATAATCGATGATGGAATGTCATATAGTTTTTAAGCAATTCATGTCTTTGCTATACATAATATCCTGCCCGCGACATTACGACAGTTGTATAGACATTATACGTCATTATTAGTGTTACCTAACAATATAATTAACGACTAGTCCACAAATAAATTTGTAGCTTTAAAATATCATCCACTAATATTCTACTCGATTACATGTAGGTACTTTATAAGATACCTAGGTACCATAATACTAATAAAGTAATATAAAATACTTAAATATAAATTTAACATAAAGAAATATATTTATTCCTTCATTATATTATAATTTATTAATCAATCAAATCCTAATCAACAGCTTGTGATAAAACAAGCAACATGCAACATACATTTGATAAAAAAAAATAGATAGTATTATTATAATATTATGTTTAAATGACTGGGTTCTATCATGGGATCAGTGGCTGAGCTACGACCGTTGAGGCCCGTGGATACAATTTTTTTGAAGGCCCTATATCTGTAATTTAAATTTCTAAACATCGGGCTGTTTTTTTGTATGCAATAAAAAAAATATATATTTATAGTAAATTAATAATTTATTGAATTATAACTTCGGAAACAGTAATAATAATATTTTATTTATAATGAGCAAACGTCTTCACCAATAACGATAAGTTCAATTTTTTAGCACGCTCATTTTCTATCGAAATCATCGAAAGACCACTAAGTTGGGTTTGGGACATGGTGCTTCTTAGATAATTTTTAATTAATTTAAGTTTTTAGATTATTCTTTCTGCACTCGCTACAGTAATCGGTAAGGTATGGAACAAGTAAAATGCCGTTAATAAGTCAGGGAAACTAGTAATTAAATTATTATTAAAAAAAAAAAACGATTTGGATACACGGTAATTTAAAACAGTATATTTTTTTTTCTATATTTATTAATTTAAATTATATTTTAAGTCAATGTTGACCTAACAGATAAAAACAATAATAAATAATATGGCTATTTAGAGGTTATATGTATTCTCGATTTAGGTATAAAAATATTAAACGCTAGTCAAGGAAAATAGTCAAGCCTCCATTAAAAATACGAATAAAATGTATAATACATTATAATAAGTGACAATCGCGTCCACGACAATATAAATATATAATATAACGTGACGATTTGTGAACACGGTATAATAATAAGATTGTCGATACTCGATATGGGATTTCGCGTAATATTAGTATATATGACAACTCACTGACTACATTTCATAAAATTTTAAATTATAAGGTTATTTAATTTTCTTTAAAATTTAATATATTATGTAGACGAAATATATAAATATGTTCAAAACCATTAGTTTTAATAGCTAATATTAAATTTCTAGTATTTACTTAACACCAATGACCACAACGATTGTAGGTATACGAATCACAATTTAATGATGTCTTTCAATGCAAAATAATTGTAAAACTACTTACCTAAGTAACTTGGACGTTGTTTCTGATACCACACACCCTCAAACACCCTCGAACACACCCCTCATATTAAAATCGTTAGAATGAAAAAAAAAAAAGGTGCTCTGCTGTACAGTAGGTTACAAGTAGGTCACTGTATATAGGATAGTATTAAATTTGAATTCAATGATATAATATCATTGTATAAGAAAAACGATTCTGAGCGGAGACAGTATGTCAGTCGAGGTATAAGACATATTATATACTTATCTATCGTATTAAAAAAAATTACATATTACATAATCACAACAAAATAACTAAAATAGTTATTCTAGGTTTTTTTTTATGTAATTTTGTCTAAAGTTGAACTTAAAATTAATATAAAAATAAACTGTGCTTATGTATTTTTTAGATTTTTTGGTAACAGAATTAACTGGTTACGTGCAATCTTGTTTAAAATTTTCAATCCTTAGATATAAAAGTTGAACTTTTTATACATTTTTAACTATAAAATAAATATTCAATTTTAAATTTGATAAATTTTGTCAAAATTCGATCTTTAAATGCTTATAAAAAAGAATTGTGAGTATGTATTTTTAATATTTTTCAAATGATATTGTAACAATATATCAGGAGCCTTGTATTAAATTTTTACACTTTTTGGCCCAACAGATAAAACTTTATTGATATTTATAGAATAAAAAACTAAAAAACTTGGAAACTGAAAATGTCCGTAAACAGCTCAAAAAGAGTCAAAATATTTTCCAAATTGTTTGGTGCATAGGATATGCTATTATAAATATTCTGTAAAATTTTCATGTATCTACAGTTATTAGTTTTTGAATTACAACAAAATAAGGAAATCGCTACATGAGAAATCGAGTGAATATCCAATGTTGTAAAAATTTGAATTTCAAAGAATCATAAAAAATTTTTATAGACATTTTTTTTTTTACAAAGGTAGATAATCGTATAAGGAATCTTGTATTACATTTTAAAACCTTAGATTTAAAAAGAAAAATTTTTACGAATTCTTAACTCAAAATAATTTGCTAATTTTCGTGATTTTCCCATATTTTGTCAATTTTTGAACTTTAAATGCTTATAAAAAAAAAATGTGACTAAGGATTTTTAATATTTTCAAATGCCATTGTAACAATATAGTAGGAGCCTTGTATTAAAGTTTCAAGCTTTTTTAACCAACAAATAAAATGTAATTGATATATTTTGGAAAACAACTAAAAAAAAATGTAAAATTAAAATGTGCCTAAACAGTTCAAAATAAATCAAAACATTTTGAAAATGTTATCGTGTATAGAAAATGCTAATATAAACATTCAGTCATAATTTCATGTACCTATGGTCATTTTTTAAGAGTTGCACCAAAAACTAAAATCGATTTTTTCGAAAACTGATTTTAGTGTAAAAATTCCCGTTTTTCCTTAATTTTTATTTTGTTTTTTGAAAACTTTTGGGAAATTTTTACTTTTGACCCCTCAAAGTACCAACTAGATTCAGTTTCCTATCAGAAAAGCTACTGTTGAAGAAAATCCAAGCACTTTTACTGTCCTAAAACGTGATGACAGACACTAAAAAAAAATAAAAAAAAAAACACCCATCATTGTAAATTCAATACATTCATCGTTTCACTCCGAATCTAAAATTTAGTAATGATTTTATCTTTAAAATACGTGATCTAATATGGAACTTATGTAAAATCACATTTTATAATATTACAAATACCTATGATGACAAATAAGATCAATTGTAATGTTAAATACTTATTCCACATATTATGTTTAACTATTTATAAGTATAAGTATACTCAAATAAATACAATTAAGTAATCACTACAGTATTTACAGTACCTAATTAATAATGTATCAACATTATGTTGACTAAGTATTGAACATTACAATTGATCTTATTTGTCATCGTAGGTATTTGTAATATTATAAAATGTCATTTTACTTAATTTCCATATTATATCACGTCTTTTCAAGATTTAATCATTACTATATTTTTTTTTTTTAACTTAGCTTTTTTTTACACGGAGTTATAACGAAGTGTTTTTGGTGTCATATAATTATCATCATCTGTACCTTTATTTTCTGCATTTAGTTATATGTATATTAAATCTATTTTCGGTGTTCAATCATAGTTATGGTATTTCAAACTATATCACTGGCTCTTTATAAATTAAAAAAAAAAAACTAAAAAAAAACCTTAATTTAAGTTAATAAATCAAATGTAAATTTCCATATAACTTTTAACTTAACTGAGTTAAAAAATAAAAATATTCTGACTATTAACTTAAACTTTTTTTAAATTGTTTTCTATAAACTTAACTTGACTCAATTAAAACTTAATAATTATCATTAACTTGCCTATCCTTAATTATTATATATGTTTATAACGAAGTGCCTAACAATATTTAGGATTTCGTATTAGAAAAGGTAGAGAGAGGCACCATATAAACTGATGTATTTATTTAATGTATATTTTATTATAGCATTAAACTGTGTACCTACCTATTTATTATTCATATAACGCATTATTGAGCGCTCATTTTCATATAAAAATCTGAGATTCGATGAAATCCAATAATATTACAAATAATATATTATGGAATATAAATATAATAATATGACCAATGTTAACCCGTTTACTAGGCCGGTGTTAATTTCGACCCGAGTATACCAAAAGAACATTTCGTTAAGATGTTGGGATCTAAAGGGGTGGAATCTGCCAAGCACGCCAGTGCACATGAGTTCAAAACGAACGACGTTGCTTACTCCAACCATTTCGGCTATATCCCGAGAACATTCGACGCTAGGAAGAAGTGGAGACACTGCAAAACGATCGGAGAAGTTCGTGACCAAGGGCACTGCGGATCCTGCTGGGTGCGTTTACGAGAGGGCTTACGTCGGCGGATGGAAATCGTAAAATGGTTTTAACGAATTTATTTTCTAATTAAAGGCGTTCGGAACCAGCTCAGCGTTCGCCGATCGTTTGTGTATAGCCACCGACGGAGATTTCAACCAACTGTTGTCCGCCGAAGAGATAACGTTTTGCTGTCACACTTGTGGTTTTGGATGTAACGGAGGCGACCCGATCAAAGCCTGGAAATATTTCAGTACACATGGTTTGGTGACAGGAGGAAATTATAAATCTGGAGAGGTAATAATATAATATAAGTGATAATGATGTCATTGATGTATATTAATACTAAGCTATAGAGTAGAGTAGTAGAGTATAGTGTAGTACAAAGTCACGTGTCTGCATTTAAGCAGACGATTTACAATGCACTTGCATATTCTTAATGGATTTTGTAAGACATTGCAGAGCATAATAATAGTTTATGAATCGTTTGAATGGGTGTTTAGAGGAGTTTACAACTGATATATTGTTGAATTTTAGTCGTTTAATATTATATACTATCAAGGTATGCACGATGAGAGTTTAGTTACTCTGCTTTATTTAATTAGGTACCGAAAGTGACGAACTTACGGTTACTGGGTAAATTATAGTTATTTCGGTTGTCGTGATACTGGGAACAACCAATAAGTCCGATTTCGGATTTTCAGTTGTTAATCACCCACTGCGTATAAATTACTGTTGCTTAACTCGCATACGTGTTCTAGGGATGTGAGCCATACCGTGTCCCACCCTGCCCACGAGACGAAGAAGGTAAAAGCTCTTGCGCCGGAAAGCCAATTGAAAAAAATCACAGATGTACGAGAATGTGTTACGGAGATCAGGACCTCGACTACAACGACGATCACAGATTTAGTATGAACTATTTACAAAATTTTTACTATTAAATATGTGTTTAGTCTAATATATATAATTGAATCATGATTGTATAGCGCGTGACTATTACTACCTGACTTACGGCAGCATCCAAAAGGATGTTATGAATTATGGACCAATCGAAGCATCGTTTGATGTGTACGACGATTTTCCCAGTTACAAGTCCGGTAAATGAGTGGTACGGTCATGATAACCCGTACCATAATATTTTATATTAATTAATCACATTTGCATCTTATTCAAATGACCTATTATTATTTTTATAATAATAATCGTGTCGTCGTGACAGGACCTTTAATCTTGACATTTTACGATGACTTTTAGGTGTTTACGAGAAAACCGAAAACGCCTCGTACTTGGGAGGACACGCAGTGAAGTTGATCGGCTGGGGTGTAGAAGAAGGCACCCCGTATTGGTTGATGGTCAACTCGTGGAACCCACAGTGGGGCGACAACGGTCTCTTCAAAATTAGACGAGGTACAAACGAATGTGGTATCGACAATTCGACAACCGCTGGTGTACCAGTGACCAACTAATAATATTAAGGGTGCTGACTGCCGACCTATTAAAATAAGAACACTCCTGTATCACTGCAGCAAAACATTTTTTTTTTTATTTATTTCACTGTATTTTATATGTTTAAATAAAATTAATTTTATTATTCAACTTTCGTTTTGAATGATTTGCCAGGAGACATGCGCTTCAACCGCAATATAATGAGTTATAAATTGAGGTGTTTCGGAACGTTAATAGTTCGAAAAATCAAAAACGAACTTTAGGTGTTCGGTTTGAGTTTGAAAGTCAAACCTAGGTTTTAAAAAAAAGGAACCAAAAAGACTCTAATGAACAGTTTGAAATTCAATAACTAATCAAACTATTATTAATTTATGAACTACAAATTATTTCAACTACGCGAAACGTTTTGAATAAAAAATGTTTCCAGTGTATAGTTTTAAATTTTTTTTTGTGCTATTGTCTATTTTACTAATGAAAAATACGTAAATAAAATAGCATTTAGTAGTAATCAGATTTAAGTTATGACCGATAATACTTAAATTCTATACTGTAATAGTGTTGAATCAGTTATTTCAGTTTGACATGAAGCTAAAAAGTTTGATTAGAAATTGAATTAAAAAATCGTTTCAGTTTCAGTTTGGTTTTGTGCTAAAGAAATGTTTATTACAGTTTCGATTTGGTGTGGAATGAAATGTTCGGTTTGTGTTTGGTTCGAAATACGATTCGAGACCATATTATTGACTTTTAAAACTTTACGTGCAGTGTTCGGACTTATCTAGATAAATTTATCTAGATGAATATCTAGATAATTATTTGTTAATCTTTTATCTTATATAGATAAATAATTACAAGGTACCTAAACGTTCATCTTAGATACATTTTTTAGTAATCTAAATAAATTTATCTAGAAACATTTTGTATTGATAAAAATCGCGAAATTTTACAAAAGTATTTTTAAATATTTATACAGATTCTCAAACAAAGTGTATGGTTTATAAATAATGTAATTACTTTTATTTATATAATTATAATTATTATTATGTTCCTAGTGCCCAACTAAAAAAAAATATCTAAATTTAAAACCATTTAAAAAATAATTGTATCTTTTTTTTTTATCTAGATAAAAGAGTATTTATCTTTATCACGAAATGTTTATTACAATTTCGATTTGGTGTGGAATACTGGAATGTAATGTTCAGTTTCTGTTTGGTTTGAAATACGATATAAAAGATCGATTCAAGACCATATTATTGACTTTTAAAACTTTACTTGTAATGTGCGTACCTATCTATTACTATATCCAAGTATTGTCCATCAACTTCATTTTTAATTTACCTACTTAATAGTTAATATACTGTTAATGGTTACAGAAAATACATAAACATTTTACAACAGATAGTTCAAAATTAAATTAATTTTTACAAACGTACACAATACAAATTGTATTAAGTTAATTGTATTTTCTTTATATGATTAATTATTATAATTATTTTCAATAACATGCCTACTTTTGCTAAACGCCTTTCACACTACAGGGAAAACGTAATGATACGGAAATACGATTTGAAGCTGCTGCTGATAACTGATAAGTGATTTTACCCAAGTTTACTGATAGACCTACGCTGACATTTTACTTTACTTTATCTATTAAAATGGACTTATGTACAGCTATAATGGTAAAAAGGCTTTCATTTGTCAATAAATATAAAGTTAGCTTGCATCGCGTATAGCCAAATGGGACCAATCAACAAGTGGCCCTTTTTCTATAATTTACTAAAATATTTAGATTACTCAAAATAGTTAAAAATTTAATTCAAGATTTCTCATGTACTAATAAAAAAAATATCAAAAATACATATTCGACATATTTTTTTTAAGTACTTATTTAAAGTTTGAATTTTGACGAAAATCGTGAAAATTGTGAAAATTTAACACATAATCGCAGAGGTTGGTATTCAATGATTTATGAGTTAATGACCATTTAGCATTAATTGATATAGAATATTTGGTAAAATGTTACCAAATACCCGGTGGTCTTGATGGCCAATGAGATGTATCTAGACACCGATAAACCCCTCTATATATTACTATAAATACTAAAATGGTGTATCACACATGTTAAAATTATTAATTTTCACGGTAATTATAGTGATAATGATGTATACTAAGCTAGTAGAGTAGATATATGTTTGCAAGTAAACATAGGACTTGTAGCGCTTGCATGTGCGTAAAGGATTTAGTACCTAAGATACTGCAGAGTATATTTATAATACAGTTTATATGGGTATTGGGTATACAATATACATTTTTTAGTATGTATTGAGAGAAGCTTTTTTTTACCTCCTAATTAATTCATAAAAAATAGTACAAAATGAGATTGTGATTTTAAATCAACACTCGAAGCACGAGCGAACTTTTAAATTGTTGTAGTTTCAAAACTAAAACCAACCGTTGTATTATGATTTAAAATGTTGCTATATCATTTTACCTTGTCAGGACTTAAGCACTCAAGCTATGAAAAAATTATAAAAATTTTTTTCCCATTACCAAACCATTTTTTGTGCAAATTTTCAAAATTTTACAGGGCTGTTCTAATGTTTTTAAGACATTTTTATACCTAGTACCTATAATTGTATACGAGATTGTTGCTTAATGAATAAACGTATTCCAGGGATGTGAGCCATACCGAGTTCCACCAGGCCCACGAGACGATAAAGGTAATAACACGTGCGCTGGTAAGCCAATTGAAAAGAATCACAGATGTACGAGAATGTGTAATATGAATTATTTTCAAAATGTTTAAGGTTTCCGGTGGAAATAATCGTTTCCGGTGCTTATTTAAAATTTTCATTATGTCCATTGACTAATGACTATTATAATAAATCGACTTAAAATACACCCGATTTTATTCTTGTTTATTATTTTTAATATATCGATTAGTAGCAAACAGTGTCAAGTTAGAACCGAAATTAATTTAATTAAATCACAACTTGAATAGTACCTACCCAATTTTCTTCAAAACTTATGATTGGAAATTAGGGCTTGTAGACGTTATAATAACGTTATATATTTGACAAGAAACCGATTGAAATTTGTGAACGTTTGTTATAGCGGAAAGCGATAATCAAAAATAATTAAATAACGCAAAACATAACATTACCGTTAACAAAATATATTACCTATATATTATCACTAAACAAAACACAAAGCAAAACGTCATTTATAGGATGTCATTAAACGAATAATAACCCAAAGTCCCAAAACGTAATTTATAGGATATCATAAAACTAGAAAAATATTATGAATAGTACCTACCTACATAATATTTTTCAAAACTTATGATTGGAAATTAGGACTTCATAATAACGTTATATTTGACAAGAAACCGATTGAAATTTGTAAACGTTGTTATAACGGAAAGCGATCATCAAAATAATTAAATAACTCAAAACATGACATTACCGTTAGCAAAATGTATTACCTATTTATCATTAAACAAAACACAACTCAAAACGTAATTTATAGGCTGTCATTAAACGAATAATAACGCAAAACGTAATTTATAGGATATCATAAAACTAGAAAAATATTATGTATAGTACCTACGAGTATAGTAGTCGTCTGTATTAGCACTACAGGCGTACAGGCGTACAGCATATAACGCGTTCGACGGTAAGCGACAATGAAATTGGCCCATCAAAATCAGCAGATAACAAAAGTTTAAAATTGAAACGAAACAATACGAAATAATGAACGCTGCTGCTCGCGTCGCGTCAGCGCTTCCGTGTTATCGGTCTATATTATATGATATTTTACTTTTACAATTTTACAATAATCAACACACGTTTATCAACATGCAATTTTATAAAACATGACCAATTTAGATTTAAAAACTACAGGTCATAATGCAAAAATTCCCCCAAAAAATAAATAATAAGTGACAATAATTATTATTTCACTTCCAATACCAGCTATAGTGTTATTTGATAGTTCTGATAACATTGTCATATTATAACAGTTATTTAATAAATAATAAATATGTACACAACAGGATTTACACTATACTGTTTACTTTACTCTCGAACAACTGACCACGATAACGATTACTGGATGTCGAGGTCGAAATCTCTTTAACCTAGACAAAGTTTTACTCTTTCTCAACCAGGGACTGGAACCTTTTGAAATTACCGGTATCGGTTCTGGTTTTTTGATAAAAAAAATAAAATAAAAGTATCGGTTCCAAATAATTTCGATAATGGTTCCAGATAATTTAAGTACCGAAAAGTATAATTACTTTAAATTCCTATCCGGAATGTGGGCTTAATTTATAGCAGGGCCTGGAACCTCACCGAAAAGAACAGGTTTTGGAACTGGAGGAACCCTTTGAATGTTGGGAACTGAAACCTTACCGGAATTATTATTTAAATTTATTTTAAGACTGGAACTGCTGATGGTAAGAATAATAAATTATATATAGTATCATATATTCATATATTTCATCATAGCTATTCTTTTCCCCGAAAATTATCAGTTATTACCGTTATATTACACCTATTATGAATTATTATTTTTATTACACCATACATGCATACATACATACATACATACCTAGGTACAAGTTATCGTCGATAACAATTTTATATAAGACAGCATATCATTATACAGTGCAATAGCGATTTTGTTCAGGTTAGTATTAATAACAACTAGCAAAAACAAGTTATAATATTAAATTTTTTTTTAAATTATTGTTTTAGAATGAATGATTAAGAAAACAGAAGCATAAAAAAGCTAAAGAAGTAACAACGTACAATAAACAAAAAAAAAAATACATTACTTTAGTATAATTTAATTTTTTTTTCTAATTTTTAACCTATAATAAATATAATTTAAATGCATTTTTTTAGTGCATTTTTTGAGTTTTTTAAGTCATTTTTGCATTTTTTTAGGGCATTAAAATCCAGCCCTAGTAATGACAATTTTCAAATGTTGTTTGTATAAATTATTCGTCGATTAAAAGTAA